AAAGAGAAGTTTCTACCACTGAAAGTCAAGCTCCTTTCATTTTTATGTTGGACCTTCTAGTTTGCTGCTTTAAAACTTCTATTCATGTGAATATGTTTCCTTCTACCTTAAAAGAAAAGCTTCTTAGGGTGGAGGGCATCGGTGGCTCACGCCAAGTAATCCTAGCGGCTCAGAAGACTGAGATCTGAAGATTGTGGTTCAAAACCAGCCCAGGCAGAAAAGTATGTAAGACTCGTTTCTGATTAAGCACCAAAAAAAGCTGGAAGTAGAGCTGTGGCTCAAGTGGTAGAGTACTAGCATTCAGCAAAAAAGCTCAGGTACAGCACCCAGGCTCTGAGTTCAAGCCCCACAACCAGCCCAAAAAAGGAAAGAAAGAAAAGTTTCCTGGACTTGAGCTGGTAAGTCAGTGGTAGAGCATTTGCCTATAAAGTCCTGGGTTTAACAGCAATCCCACTTTTGGGCATTTACACAAATGAAAACGAACAAGGCCATACTAAAGCTACTAGCACAACTATGTTTATCGCAGCATTACTCACCATAGCTAAGATATGGAATCAACCCAGATGCCCCTCGGTAGATGAGTGGATCAAGAAAATGTGATACACACACACACACACACACACACACATATACATACACACAATGGAAGTCTATGCTTCCATCAGAAAGAATGATACTGCCCCATTTGTCAGGAAATGGAAAGACTTGGAAAAAAATCATATTAAGTGAAGTAAGCCAGTCCTAAAGAATTTTAGGTCCCATGGTTTCCCTTACTTGCAATAATTAGTATACATATAGGATAATATTATCAGATGAGCTAAAAAGCTCAAAAGCTATGTACATATGTCCACATAAGATGATACTAAGTGAAATTAACCTCAAGATATGGACACAAGAGGTCTGTCTTTATTGTTATTGTTTTAAATGTACTATGTGATTTCTTTTCTGTTTGTTTCCATTGTATGTTCTTCCCCATAAGGCACATTCCCTGTTTTCACTGTACTTGATTTTGGTACTCTGAATCTCTCTCTCTCTTTTTTTTTTATTTTGTCGGTCGTGGGGCCTGAACTCTGGGCTTGGGTGCTGTCCCTGTGCCCCTGTGCTTTTCTTTTTATTTATTTATTTATTTTATTGTGAAAATACTGTACAAAGGGTTACAATTACATGGGCAAGATAATAAGTAAATTTCTTATCAAGCATTGTAGCCTCCTCCTTTGTTTCCCCTTCCCATCCCTTCCCATCCTCTCCCCACCCCACACCAAAGTTGTAAAGTTCGTTTTCGACATAACAACTTGTACTTCTCATTGTTGCAATGGGTCCACCTGTATCCCCATTTAAACGACTTGTTTTTCCCCTTCCCCTCCACAAATTTTACCGACATCAAATACAGTGAAAGCAGGGCTTATACCCTGGGGGAGGTACATACAAAGCAACAAAGAAATCATCTTATAAATATGTTGGAAACAATCACAAGAAAGAAAAAACATTTGAACCCTTATCTTGGGGTTCATTTCACCTAACATCAACTTGTCTGACAGTTTCTGTTTGTCTCAGACATATACTAGTTATTGCAAATAAGGGAAACCATGGGACCTATGTTTCTTTGGGCCTGGCTTACTTCACTTAATATAATTTTTTCCAAGTCTTTCCATTTCCTAACAATGGACCAATGTCATTCTTTCTTTTTTTTGGGGGGGTCCGGTCGTGGGGCCTGAACTCTGGGCCTGGGCCTTGTCCCTCAGCTCTTCAGCGCAAGGCTAGCGCTCTACCACTTGAGCCACATCGCCACTTCCGGCTTTTTTTCTTTTTGCTTATGTGGTGCTGAGGAATCGAACCCAGGGCCTCAGGCATGCAAGGCAAGCGCTCTACCACTAACTAAGTCACCTTCCCAGCCCCCAATGTCATTCTTTCTGATGGAGGCATAGAGTTCCATTGTTTACCACATTTTCTTGATCCATTCATCTACTGAGGGGCATGTGGATTGGTTCCATATCTTAACTATGGTAAATAATGCTGCAATAAACATAGTTGTGCTGGTAGCTTTAGTGTGGTCTTGTTTGTGATCATTTGGGTAAATGCCTAAAAGTGGGATTGTTGGGTCATCCCTATGATGTAGTCTTTTGAGGAACCTCCATGCTACTTTCCAAAGTGGTTGAACAAGTTTACACTCCCACCAACAATGCAGTAAGGTTCCCTTCTGTCCACATCCCCTCCAGCATCTGTTGTGGTCTTGTCCCTGTGCTTTTCAGCTCAAGGCGAGCGCTCTACCGCTTGAGCCACAGTGCCATTTCCGGTTTACTAGTGGTTTATTGGAGATAAGAGTCTCACGGACTTTCCTGCCCGGGCTGGCTTTGAACTGTGATCCTCAGATCTCCGCCTCCTGTGTAGTTAGGATTACAGGCATGAGCTACTGGCACCCAGCTGGTACTCTGAATCTTATATATACATATATCTAATCTGTGAAGGGGAAGGGGAATAACAAAGACACAAGATGATCCATTGCAACAATGATACCCACAGGACAGTATATTGGAAATGAACTTTACAAGTTCCGGTGGCGTGAGGTGGGGTGGGGTGGTGGGGAGGAGTATGGGAGGTTGGGGAGGGAAGGGAAAGTGGGAAAACAACAAGGGAAGGGGTAACAATGATCCACAAGTAATGAACTCATTGCCTTACTCATGTAACTGTAACCCCTCTGTACAGCATCTTTACAATAAAATAAAATTAAAAAAATAAATCCAATCAGGGAAAGACAGAAGAAACAGAAGATCCTTTCCTCAATAAAGGAGCAACCAAGCAAAGAGATGGGAATAACCTTTAATATAAAAAATGCTCCCTGGAGTCCTCTGCCTATTCAGCTGTTGTCTAGGAAGCCATGACTCAGTTGTGTGCTATTAACTGCCTCAAGTCAAAAATGTTATTTCCCCTCCTTTGTCCAAAAAGTAACTCAACTTTTTGGGATCTAGTTAGTCATGATCATTGTAAAAGGGCAAAAATACATTATGGCATGATCAAATTAAAAAAAAAAAGTTCTGGGTTCAAACCCCAGCAAAACAAAAAAAAAAAAAAGTGAAAGTTTTTCATTAGTCATTCATTAGTCAAAACAGACACTGTCATTTAATTTCTATTCCTTATTTATTGTCACATAAATGTTTTTACTCATTAGAGAAGAGCCAAAAGATGCACTATCAGCTAGCAAGACAGATGAATAACATTACTATAACCTAACTTGAAATAAAATCAATCTAAGTGAAAAACAACTTGAATACTAGTACTTGAATCCAGGGCCTTGTACATACAGGCAAGTACTTTACCATTTGACTATGCCTCTGCCCCTTTTGCTTATTTGTCCTCTGTTTTTTTAGACAGAAGGCTTGTTACCCTTGCCTGACTGTCCTCAAATTCATGATCATTCTATTTCTGCTTCAAGTAGCTAGGATTAAAAGAAAAGTTCTTAATACAGCTTCTTCTTTATGTAACATCCAAAGTCTGCCTTTCTTTCAGAGGAACTCCATTAAGAAAGTAAATGTTCTCTCTCATCAAGAGCAGTAGTTTGGATCTAGTTCTGCACTACAAAAATTGCATCCTGCCTGTCTACCCACAAAAACACACAGGTAGGACTCAGTCAGGTCACAAGCACTGATATGTATAGGTCTGCAATATGAATGATAATATGTTCTGAGCAAGGCTGAGCACAGGGTCCCGTACACAGGTCTACAGCGTGCTCTGCACTGAAGTGTCAGTCAAAGGGAGCATCAAAGCTGAAATCCAACATGCCCTCTTCCTACCAGCCTCCAATTCTGATGGGGACCAAGTCAACCTAAATGTGGTAATACTTTTACCTTTGCAAATACATTGTCTGCACCCAAGGGCAGCCTCTGTCTATTCCACACTGAGGCCCTGCACAGGGCAGCAGGCTTTGGGTTGTGATCCCCAGACTCAGAACACAACTGGATCCTCCTCAGGAACCTCAGGGCAGCTTGGTGATTCACTTACCCTTCAAGCTCACCAAAGCAATGGAGAAGGGAAGAAGAGGAAGAATGTACCTCTAACCAGGTATGGGAAACACTTCAAGACTAGTGCCTGGAGAGCAAGCTAAGGAAATGGAGAGCTGAAGAGGAGAGGCACCCAAAGTCCCAGGGCTGGGCCTCATGGCTTCACCTCCAGCACAGACTTCCCACCTCCCCAGATGAGTTTGAACACCACAAATCAAGAAAAAGTAGATGCCAGATGCCTAGACAATGAGCCTGCTTGATCTTGACAATGATCCTTCACTGCTTGATCTCTTTGTGTTCCTAAGACAGACAGGTACAATGATCATTTCACAGATGTGCCTTGAGAGAAGACTCCGTTCACTGGGAAACTGCCCCAGAGCTTCTGCAGGCTACCAGGTACACCAGCGGCCTGGGGCTGAGAGGCCTACATATGTCTCTGTGGCCTTCACCAAATATTTGGCCTCTGTGTGTTGTTGATGTATGATATTACATTAAATTGGGAGATAGAAAATCTACCTTCAAAAGCAGAATAAAATATTGTGTAATGAGAGTGCTACTACTCTTTCCATAGTCAGAAATCTATGTGTACCTAGAGCCTTTAGTCACAGTTCTTCTGTGAACTCTTCACTCTGTGTTACTTGTCAATGATTAATTTCCTATGAAGCATGGAGATTGTCTAGATCAGTCATCTAAGACACAAAAAAGCCCAGTTTCCCTGAAAGTCTCTCCCAACCTTTGTAACCTTTGTAAATTGTTCCCTCATCATATCTACTCTGAAACAATCTCAATAGGCTCACACAGCAGCCTTGACTCCTCATATCTTCCTGTAGAGCAAAAGTCTATCTTTTAGCAGACAATGTGCATAGTTCACACAGGGAAAAGCATCACTGGGCACTCTGCAACTCTCATGTTAGCTGGTGCTGGTGTTGGAGCAGGACTGACAGACAAGGAACAGAGCCAGGCTAGGGCTCTGCTAAGGCTCCTAGGAAGAAGAGCCTTGCTCACCTTCACATTGGGAGTGTAGAGATTCCTGAGAGAGGCGAGGGCAGCAGATAGCCCCTCAGTGCTGTAACCGATCCACAGGGCTTGAAGATGGCTTGAGGAGATTCCAGTTTTCTTACTGAGGCCCTGAAAATGACCATAAACAGAATCTCTCTGAGCATTAACCTTCAATAGAATCATTTGAAGACCTACTTCAAAAGTGGGCCTTCCCCAGAAGGTGTCGGTACATGCTAAACACAAGGCCACTTGCACACAGGATGCCTGGACCAGTGAGCTTTCCCTGCCCCAAACCAAAAGGCAGGAAATCACCTGCCTTTGCTACATGGACTGTACACCTGGGGAGAAGGATGGCATAGAAGAGAAAGGTTCCTTTCATGGAAGTACATTAGAGGAAGGCTAAATGACAGAATTAGAGAATCACCATCTGCAACCACTAATGAATGAGTGAATGAGTCCAGGCAGTGACTAATAATGGCTGATAGCATCACAAAATAAGAAGCAAGCAGAAATGCTGTGTCTCCTGACACATGAAATTCTTACCCCTATCATGTAATCCTGACACCTTGTAGGGGGAGAAAAAAAAAAGTCAACCCAAACCCAAAAGTGCTCAGTGCAGGTACCAAATGAAAGGAAATCCAGGGGAAAGAGGAACATATTCAACTATTCCCTGTAAAACAAACACACAATCAGAAAATCCAGGTGGGCCTGATGTGGAACAAATGCCTGAAGTGCCAGCATTCTGGAGGATGGGGTGGGAGAATCATGGGTTAAGACAATCATTTGGCTATCTCTCCCCCCAAAAAACCCAAAATAACACCCAGGTGGCATGAAATCATATAGCTCAACGATTCAAATTCTTTGACAATTAAAAACAAGGAAACAAGCAAGAATAAAGTGGGATCTTTGGATGAAAAAAAAAACAAACTTAAAAGGGCTTCAAAAGAGGAAAAAGTTAAACTCAATCATAGAATGTAGATGTATTTGTGTGATAAACAACAAAGAAATGCAGGGAAGTGATTGTAAACAAAACTGCGGTTACTTTTAGGGAGGAAAAGGAAGTCGTGTTTGGGATGTGGCTCTGGGAGGACCTTTGAGATGGCTCACAAAGATGTCTAAAATTCCCCATAACCACCAAATGACAACAAAGAAACTTTCCCCTGTACTGGTATTCTCCTCACCTTGAAAATGTGAGCCTTCAGGATGTGGTGGCCAAGCTCCATGGTCTGTTGGCGGTTCAGCTTGCCCTCCTGTCGTGAGAACATGAACGCCAGAAGAGCATGTCCATTCCTACAACAAGAAATACAAAAGTTCAGAACAAGATTCCATTTCATTGTACTACAGGTCATTGGTTATGTATACTGCCATATGACCCATGAACTCTTTTCCTGTGGCTTTGTTACCACTACATAGAATTGACAGATCATTGCCACTTTACAAAGATGGCATATGCTGCTGCTGCTTCAAACCATTTTTAAGGACTTTTGGGGAGTTCTGTTATCAACCTACACTAAGTCTCTGGCACAGGGCAAGTCTGTGCCTTCAGAACCACACTCTGCTCATCACTCTCATCACCTGAGTTGAGTTTATGCTTATCATGAAAATACAAACCTTATGAGGCAGTCTTGTCAAAGTCACAATATAATCACAATTTCTAGCAAAGTGCCTAATATTCAGCACATACTCAAATAGGTATTTCCTGGATGCATAGATGTATGGCTAGATGGACGGGATGCATGAATAGATAAATGGAACAGAATCCTACTGACCTTCAGAAATCCCCTTAAGGTCATCACCACTTAGGTAGACGTAGGCCAAAGGACAGAACTTTACAGCACAAAGCCAACCAGGCATTGTTGGCTAACATCTGTAATTCTTGCTACTCAAGAGGCTAAAATATGTAAGGTTCTAGTTTGAAATTTTTTCTAGACTTATCTCCAAAACAAACAGCAAAAAGTAGGTGTGGCTCAAGTGGTAGCACACCAACCTAGCAAGTTTAAGGCAGAGTTTAAATGCCAACTGAAAGGAAAACTAACCAACCCCAGGCCATATTTGACAACAGCTTGTGATCAGTCATGGCTAGAATTCAAGGTTTAGACTGAACACTGATTCCTGTGGGCAGGCCAAGGAAAGAAACATAGTGGGCACTGAATACCACAATTTGTCCCTCACAAATCCTTAAGGATTTGTTCCACTATCTATAGGAAAGACATAAGATCACGAGGGAATATTTTTTCTAAACTTATATGCCAGTAAACTGGAAAATCCCAAAGTAAATTTCTAGACACTGCCTCAATGATGTTCCCAACAAGACTGCAACTTTCTTTTATGAAAACTCAAAACCCTCCTCCATAAAAATACAAAGTCAAGCTTTCAACCTTTCCACCTCCCCTCACAGGCTATTGGTTCTCAGAGGAAAGACTAAGGGAAGAGACAGCCTAAGAATGGCAGGATCGTTGCCCTACACTGAAATCTAATGGTTTCCTCTTACTCCTCCTTTCCACATCCCTTCTGCTGGCACCTTTAACAGCCTTGCCTGGAATTCTCTACTCGTAAAAGTACATCACTCTTTTCTTATCAGGTCATACTCCATTATTGAATCCCAATCTTCAACTACCAACTTCTCCAATCTTCAGACAAGATCTGCCTACAAACTTTCATAGAGGAATCTTGAAAAAAAATTACCCCATAAATTCAAACTGCTCAAAACCAAAGCCACCAAAGCCATCCCAACCCCCAAATACTCCATACTTTCTACGCTTTACCGCTTCTAAGAGTAATTCATAATTCCTGAGGTGTAACTTTAAGTCACCAGCAACTCCTTCTCAAGTCTCTCCACAAGGCCAGTTGTCTCGTGACAGCCAGACCACAAGCCACATCCAGCTGCTCTCTTACAACAGCAAGTTTTCTCTTATCTGAACTCTAGTACACCAAGTCCTGGATGGTATCTGGCAAAGCATCGCCAGACACAGAATCCACTCTCTAGAACCTTCAAAAATTTTCCAGAGATGATGGATAAAAGGTGAATCTCAACAGCACTCTTACTCTCCATGCTAAAAGCTCCAAGCTAGATGTGTTGTTGCTAGCCCATGGTCTATGACACCTTTGACAGCTCCTTCTGTCTGCAATAGCCTTGTTCTGTCTACAATATCCCATCTATTTGTTCCTCATTTAATGGCAGAGGAAAAACAGCAGTATTGTTCTTGATTTTGAATCTTTGTACAATGCAAAAGAATAAACAGATCCAGAAATGGTCATGAGTAAGTCCAAGCATCATGAAGAGAGAAAAATATTAGTGGAGCATGGCTCCTCCCTGTAATTCTACTCAGGAGGTTGAGATCTGAGACCACGGTTCAAAGATAGCCTGGGCAGGAAAGTCTATGACACTTACCTACCAATTAACCAGAAAAAAAAAGCTGGGTGGGCATTGGTGGCTCACACTGTGATCCTAGCTACGCAGAAGGCTGAGATCTAAGGATCGCAGTTCAAAGCCAGCCTGGGCAGAAAAGTTCCCATGAGACTCTTATCACCAATCAACCACAGAAAACCAGAAGTGGCCTTGTGGCTCAATTGGTAGAGTGCTAGCTGAGCACAAAGAGGCTTAGGGACAGCACCTAGGCCCTGAGTTCAAGCCCCACAACTGCTAAAAAAAAAAAAAAGCCAGAAGTGGAGCTGTGGCACAAGCAAGTGATAATGTTGGCTTTGAGAGAAAAATCTTAGGAACAGTAAGTACCCAGACCCTGAGTTCAAGCACTGGGACTGGCCCAAAAATAAAAAAAATAGAGACTTATTGGAAGTATACCACCACCTATGAAGTTATCCTTGTGCCTTCCCACCAATGCTAACAAAAGCAAGGATGCACTATAATACAAACCTACATTCCTTAAAGTCTTCCAACTTACTCTTCTATCTACAATGATCTGACATTCCCTGAGAAATAACTGACTTGGCTACCTATGTCACAGCACATCTTTCATCTAGCTATTATAGTCTGACTTAAGTAACCCAAAGTCACAGTTTGTACATATAGTGTGGCTCATGCTTTCAATCCCAGCTACTCAAGAGGCAGAAGCAGTAGCAAGGCCAATTTGACCTTGAACTCAAACATAAAACAAAAGGATCCTGGCTTTAACCCCTAATACTGAAAACAAACAAATCTTGAGTCCAATGTCACTAAAGAAAACAGCTTCAATGTGGAATAGCAGCTGGACCTCTGGATCTGTTGGTATATGTGGAAGGTGTTTGTGAAGCTCGAGTGTTTACTTGCCTCTTATTTTCTGTGCCCTGACATCTGGTCCAATGCCCACTACATTCCTGAGGGGACAGCCTAGCAGCTTGCCAGCCCAGTTACCAGAGTAGGGGGCAATCCTGACTCAGACAGCACAGCTGTGCAATAGGGCAAAGATTCAGAGAAAGGCCTAGCCAGGCAGTGGAGGGCCTGAGCATACCCTCATCTGAAGGCACCCACAGGTGACAGGTTGGGAAACCTGTCACTCTAATTGACACCAGGCCACATGACAGAGGTTTGCCTCCATGTCCTCCAGGGGTTCAAGCAGCCTAGGAAGCAAGGAGAGCCACATCCTCTATGACCCAGGCTGCAATACTAATACACAATGAAGCAGCCAGGACGGATAACTCAGCTCTCCTCTGGGCCGACAAACACCTCTGATCCCTGGGACGAGGTGCTGCATGATCAAAAGGTGGGAGAGCAAAAGTGCTGCACAAGTAAGACAGAACCCACCCAGGCAAACACTCTGCAGAAGCCATTGTTTCCCAGCACGGAGAGCACATGTGACCCACACTCGACCTTGTCAAAGTCGGTGGGAGAGCTGACGGGGATGGGAGAGAGAACTGGCAGCGAGGAGGGGCCTCCAGGTACTGCCCAGCTTCTCTTCCACCCAAATATACTACAGGTACTGAAACTCTAGAAATCAAAAGAAAGAAGCTTTTGTTTAGAGGGAGAGAAAATTTTCCACTGCCCCTCCTTCTGCCAAAAAGGTCTGAACACAAAGCAGCAGAACTGAATTATTCATCGTGGGTTGCCTTTCCATTAAACCCATGGATCACATTTGGAATCCATCTCTCAAGGGCCCAGGAGACCCCGGCAAAGCGCTGACAGGAAGCGCCTGTCGTACCTGGGCTCACACAGGAAGGCTGTGTTTTCACCATCTGCTCTCCAGACCAGCCACTCCCTGAAGGATGGGTGGCAGAACATGCGGGTTTTGTCTCGCCTCTTAATGAGAAAGCAGGAGAGGGCGTCCATCCTCTGCTGAAAATCTTCCCAGCCTTGCTCGCCTTGGATATGGCCGGCATTAATAGCCTGAAAAATCTGTTCGTCTGTCATGGGGTGGAGGGACGCAAGGGCCACATTTAAAATAGGAAGTGCTCTCTCAAAGGCAGACTGGGTCATGAACTTCATGTTGCACTGCAGCAAGTAGAGCTCCGACAGAGACACAGGCACCACCTTGTAGCTGGCACTTTTAATGACCAGGTGTCCCCTCTGGAAGAGGTCTAGCGTGAGTTTGAGGTACAGATAGGAACCGAGGCTCCGCAGCACCAGGTGGCTGCTGACTTTCCCGATGAGGGCAGCATCGGCCTTGCCATTCAGAGAGATGTTGCTGAGGATGTCTTGGCTGCTGTGAACCCTGTGCTGGACATAGGCGTGCAGGTCGCTGTGAATGTCTTTGTTGTCTGGAAAGTCATCTAAGGAGAGCTTGGCGAGCGGCAGTGAGCTTATGATTTCCTGCAAAAAGAAAAAAAATCCAAAAACTCACAGTGTCACTCCACAGAGATTCCTTTCCTTAAATTTTAGGCAGTATTTTAAGCCAGGTTCACTAGTTTTCTTTCAAGGAGGATTTTCATGGATTACAGGGACTCATTGTTTTGTATTAAAACGTGTAATAGGATAAGGTACAGATAAAAAGCTTATGTGAAAGAAATCCTGGTGTGAGATAGGATCAGTAAAGGCTTTCCTAAAGCCCTCATTGAGGACTCAGAGCCAAGTGAGCAGAGGGAGAGCTCCGAGCAGACTCTGGCAACCAGGTCACCCAAACAGAGGGGTGGTGTGACCCTGCAGGTGACCCAATACCCATCATCTTTATTCTGTGCAAGTGGTTATATAACAAGGACAAATACAAGCAGCACTGCACATCTAAGAATACAGACGGGTGCTGAGATAAGGGGTATCTCTCTCTGGGCATCAGATACTGGGGCTGTGTATCCCTACTAGGAAATTTGAGACTGTCTCCAGGCTGTGTTGCTCGACAGCATGAGGTAAAAAAGCTGTTCGCTTTAGTATAATATGCTGTCATTCTTTAAATCTAAAAAGTATGTGTGTGTGTGTGTGTCTATGTCTGTGTCTGTGTGTCTGTCTGTCTGTCTGTCTCCCTCTCTCTAGGTCCTGGGTTTGAACTCCCAAGTGCTGTCCTTGAGCTTTTGTGTTCGAAGCTAGCATTCTACTACTTGAGCCACAGCTCCACTTCTAGTTTCTTAGTGGTTAATTGTGGATAAGAATCTCCCAGACTTTCCTGTGCAAGCTGGCTTCAAACTGTGATCCTCTGGCCTCAGCCTGCTAAGTAGCTAGGATTATAGGTGTGAGACACTTGCATACAGTGAACTTAATTTTAAGTCCACTTTTGAATGGAATAAATACACTTGCACAATCATAATTGAACAGTGCCATTAATTTTCCCAAAGAAAATTGTGTACCCAGTAGCCAGAAAACACCAACAACAGCTCTCAGAAGCCCATGTTCTCCCTACAACTTCAAACCTCTCCCATATTCCAAAATAAGCACAATTCTAACCCTTAAGAGCAGAGAAGGATTGTGTGATTTTCCTCCACTACACATCCCACTTTCATTTCTTAAGTATTTTAGCACAAACCTTCTTTAATGTAGTAATTTTAGGAGTAAGGCACAGTACGCTCATTCCCATCTTGCATGAATGTTAACTGAACTTCTGAAACTCAGCCAGGAAGTTTAACACAGGACCTGTTTCAGTCCTTTTCTGACTGTCAAATTATGTCTGCTAACTAGAAAATGACTAGAAAGGGGCTGGGAAGATGGCTCGGTGGTAGAGCGCTTGCCTTGCATGCCTGAGGCCCTGGGTTCGATTCCTCAGCACCACATAAGCAAAATGAAAAAAGCCGGAAGTGGTGCTGTGGCTCAAGTGGCAGAACGCTAGCTTTGAGCTGAAGAGCTGAGGGACAGTGCCCAGGCCCAGAGTTCAGGCCCCACAACCGGATCCAAAAAAAAAAAAAAAGAAAATGACTAGAAAGTATATGAATCAAATTTCCATAAAAAACAAACATCAATGTCAACTGAGGTCGAATCCAAGTTTTAATGAGGAAAAAAACTATAACCAGATGTGACTTTTAAATAGCTATCATCATAAAAGGGCAAAAGTCAAACTCCATCTAAATGTCTTTCCTGAAAAGGGACAGTATTAAGGGTCAATTTTAGAGTTCAAATAAAGGGGAAGACAGAGAAAGAAAAGCAAAATCACTTTACCTCTGTAAATCGTACAACATGTTGAAGTTTTCTGTCTCAGAATAAGTCTTAAAATTTTTCTCATCCCTCACTTTTCCCTCCCTTAAAACACCCTAAAAACCACAAACCCACAAATCTGGGGCTATAGCTTAGTGGAGCATTGCTCTGCATGACAAGGTACTGGGTTAAATCACCAGTAGTACCACAAAACAGAAAACAAACAGCACAAAGACCACTGCAAATGGAAATAACCACTGGCAGGAATAACTTTAAATTAAAAGTTACTCTGACTAGTTGGCCAGAAACCATAGCCAATGCACCCTAAGTCAAGGTAAAGCAGGTAAACCAGGCTTGACGTTGCTATTTCAGAAGTGCAGGTACAACTCAATGTTGACAGGACATTTTTTGACTTGATAAATAGGCCTTGGAAGCTTCAAAGGTCAGAGTATTGTCCATCTGAGACTCTCTGGGCTAATTTTTCAAAGTCCTGACATAGTTCTCAATTCAGCAAAATGGTTTACAACAGTTTAAGTTATTAGTATTGATCACTGTATAAATGGTGACTTGGAAAGAAATTTGAGAATTCTTTTGTTACCTGAAAATTTGTTCTTACAGTCACAATCAACTTCAGCCAGGCAGGAAATTTAGAAATAATTTTGGTAATAAATGAAGAAAGCGTATCTCCATAATCAGGTTTATGAAACTCAGCTTCATTTAAGCCATCTATCAAAATAATGTATTCTTCTTCAGGAATTTTCTGTTCTAAAGGATAAAATCATTTTTTCAAATTAAGAAATTATACATTTCTATAAGATGGTACTACCCAGTGTATTTTAATGCACATTTAAAATGTCAGTAAAAAACTGAAAGGTTTACATATGGTAGAAGACATGATTTTCACAGAAGCATATTTTCTATTAAATTTATAATGAAATCTGGAGTACAGAGCCAAAAGAAAACCAATTCTCGCATAAAACAGTTTTCAGAAACATAACGCATTACACACATTAGCAGAATCTCAATCACGTATACAATACAGTTAGTTCCTCATAAACCACTGTCACTAGGTGCCCTGTAGCAAAGGTAACTAACATGTAGAGACCAAATCTGGGAAAGACACAAAATGCCCATTAGAATGCTTCAGGGGCTACCAGGCAAGGAACACTTGGCAGACTCCTACACTAAGATTCCCCCCAACCCCGCTCCACTCCGCAAATAGTTTTTTGTTTTTAATTTATTTAGTAGTGCCAGTTTTCTGCCCAACGAAAAGAGAAAGGGTGACATATATGTTTCAACCCGTTTCTAGTACATTCTGGCAGAAGTGCCCATGTTAGACACGGAGCCTAAAAGGACTACCTGATAGCTCAAAAGATATAGAGCAATGGAGTGGTAGGTAAAAAACCTCAAGGCACTACAATGCCACTAACAACTTCTACCTTGTAGAATATTGGGGAGCAAAACTCTCAAATAACAATCTCTGGAAATGGCTTTACATTTCCACTCAGCTGAGGCCCTGAAAAAAATGTTGCCCCTCCCTGGGCCCCCCACACTGTATTCCTGCTACCAGGAGTACAAAATACACAGGCAACAGTCATGGAGACAGCTTATAGCTTACAGTTATGGGGAAGAACAGAAGTTATTCACCTCCGCCCAAATATGAAGAACTGTTAAGCTAAAGACAATAAAGAAGCAGGTGCAGACAAACGCTCTACCTGAGCTTTTAGCCTAAAAGCAGGACATAAATTTGTAAAGATGTCCCCTTAGCTATCTCTACCAGGAAGGACTGAAGTTAATCACTGGAGATAAGTGCACATCCCAATGGGTGGAAACAGCATTAGAAGAATCCAGCTTAAGTTTCCCCATATATTTACCTTTCCACAGTGTCCTGCTTCTAAAAGCCTAAAGCTGCCTTCTTTCAGGTCTTGCCACTTCTCTAAAATATATTGTAATTTGTTGAAAAATCCTTTAAAAGCCAGAGCTTGAAAGCCTTTCTTTGAGTTACCCATCTGCTGAGGTTCCTTCCACATGCATACACTGCAGGTGGTAATTAACTTGCTTACCTTTCTCCTGGTAACATTATCTACTCTTGGTTCATTTCACTCAAACATCAAGTATCAGAGGGCAAGGGGAACATCCCCTCTCCCTTGAAGTCAGAACTGGCTTCTTAACAACTATTCCACTGTACTGCTCTTTCTGACTAGAGATATTCCACTGAAACTATTCCATCAAGGGTATGGAGGGCCAGGACATACCACTTCTCAGGCTTGTGAGTGGTCTCCCTCTGAGGGCCACCCGACTGGGCATCCTGTATCACTATTGGGGAAGAGGTTAGGGAACTTTCTGGGACATACCATTTCTCAGGCTTGTGAGTGGCTCCAGCACACCCCTCTTGAAAGCAGCCACGGGATCCTGCACACAGGATCGAAGGCTCAGCATGCTCTGCAGATGAGGCTCTTTGATCAGGAGGTCTCTGTATGCGGCCAGCTGATGGGACCGGCAGAGCAAAGCTGAGATACTGTGCACAAACTCTGGCACCAGGCACGTGTATGTGTTGTCAGCTTGGCAGTAGTGGTAGGCTACCACCTACAGGGGAAACAGAGCCATCAGCATCATCCCATCTTCTCTACAGCTCCTTCCATGACCTCAAACAAGAACACTACTATCCCTTCACAGAGAGAATAAGATGTGTTGCTCCTATTCATTCAGATTGAGTATAGTTGGCTTAATTGGTTCATTCAATCTTTTCTTCAATCCTGTGGTTTCCTAAACTCTGCAAACCATGAACTGCTGCCACAAATCCATCTTGATTAGCACAAAACTTGGTACAACTTACTTTGCACTGAATGTGTATGAGAACTTATTCATAATACCTAACGCCCAGCCTGTGTGGAGCTATCTTCAGTAATCCCAGTGTTCCCCCAAATTGCCATTTGTCCTGCAGCTCAGTTCTCAGAAGCACATAATCCAGTCTGCAGATATCAAACTTGAGCCAGAAGTCACAGCTTTCAAACCCCTGTCTCTCCCCACACCTAGTTCTTCAAGACACACTGTGGAAAAGTGCCAACAAGGACACTAATGGAGGAAATTAGCAATTCCAGGTTTCTGCTTGTCCTGTGAGGCACACATGTATGTGGGGGAGAGAAAGGGAGAGTTGGCCATGTACCAGAGGATAAGGAGTGGTCCCTTTATTACGGCAGAGTTGCTATGGAAGCAAGTTATCTAAGAGACTCCTTCCAAGGAAAGAGCTCAATACTGTAAAGAATTTTAAAAAATCCTATATATTGCCAAATGAAGAAAAAATGAATATATGAAGTAAGGGAAGTGAATATTTTCCTTTTTTTTTCAGCAGTCTGAGTCACCACTGTCCTGCTCAACTGTGCAATCCTTACAGAAAGCTGGGAAACCACACTGGCCACAATGAACAGCTGAGGGCCACTGACACAGGTTAAATGCCTTTCCAAGGAGACAAGGACAGTCCAAGATTTGGGATCAGGTCCCAGGAATGCACTCAAAGAAGGCAAGTAGAGGAGGAGATGCAGAATGGCATGTGAACTTGGAACCACCATGGGAATTACACTTAATACTACATTTATATTCATACTTAGAGGAATGCTGATTGACATTCATTTCTCACCCAGAAAGATATTAACAGGTACTTACACATGGACCCCAATAAACTTGTGCAAACCATCACAAGATGTCTGGTACCATGGTCTTGCATAATGTTTAACAAAAGTAGGTTGGCAACCCAACAGTAGATAATGAAACCAGTCTGTAGCCACAGACAGGGTTTTTTTTTCAAGTAAGTGAATTTAAATTATAGAACACATGTATGACACAGCACAGTTCACTGATTTTTTACTTCCAGTGTGCATGCAGTACTATGTTCACACATGCTAGATCTGAAATGTAAGATGTATGTGGTCATGAACAAAAGGGTTTGAGAAGCCATCATAACAGAAGGCAGCTTTGAAATCTGCATAACCCCCATGGCAGTCTTCCCAATCATGATCAGGGAGTTTAGAAGCAGTGGTCACTGCATCAGAGCTGACCACACCAAGAACAGCTGTTGTCTGGAAACAGAGAAAGAGGGGTCTGATGTCAGATGGCATGCTTCTCAGTTCTCCTAAACCAATCTCACGCCCAGTGTCCTCATAAGGGATTGCGCATCACTGCCATCTCTAGTGGTCCTCCAGGTCCTGGAATTCACACCACTGTTGCCACAGGAGACTGACCTAAGCAGCTCATGAGATGTGACCACTTAATTCCAGAAGGCCGCTTAGGAACCTGATGGATGTGGAACAGAAGGAAAGTTCCAGCCATTCTTCGATGACCATGCATTAAGGAGGGAAAGCCTGCCAAGACTCTCATATTACCTTCCAAGAAATCTGACAGGAGAGAAGGATGCAGCGAGCCACAGGCTCTAGGCAGCATAGCACAGGTGGGTCAAGTTAGAAGCTCACAATCTTCTGCTCATATGCAGAGTTAAAATACATCCACTTAAAAGGATGGATTTGGTGTGAAGACACATAATTCTGCTGCTGCTTTTGGAAACTCTTTCAACTTACTGTTGCAGACAGACAAAAGTCTTCTGCCAAAGTCTTTATTTTCATTTGTACATTTCATTTGTAGTACTTTATGACAATTTTTTCAGAAGTTGTTTCTCTTTTAAACTTCCTATTCTAAATGTACCTCTCAAAACAAGATAAACAATTTTCTCTCTAACTGGAAGGCTCCCCAAAACAAAGGTTTACCTTAGAAGCAAGAGATTTCACTGAATCCTCTTTTGGCCTCTGATTTTCAGAAGTGTTAGCTCCTGCAGCTGTTTTCACTGTGCTGAGACCACTCGTGGAAGAACTTGGTGAGAGCAGTGGAGTGAAAGGAAGATCCTGGGTGAGATCTGACGCTAGAGAAGAGAGACATAGCATGATAGCATCAGCATACAGGTATGACAGGAGACATCATAGCATGATAGCATCAGCATACAGGTATGACAGGATGTGTAATATATTTCTGGGGGTAGTTCCCAAGAGTATTTTAATACATAAGAAATGAACATGGCTCCACAGGAGAGTCCAAATGATCACACTAGTCCCTACCCCATCTCGCTAACATCCAGTTCCTTCCCTGAAGAATGGCTGTCCCTAGTTTCTTTTATTAAAAACCTTTCTGCGCCAGCTACTGGTGGTTCATACTGTAATCCTATTTAGGAGACTTGAGATATGAGGCTCATAGTTCTAAACTGGCTGCTGTAGACAAATCCTGGAGACTCTTAAATCTCCAACTAACCAGCAAAAAGTGGGAAGTAGAGGTATGGCTCAAGGGTGCCAGCCATGAGCAAAAAGCTAAGTGAGAACAAAAGACCTTGTTCTGGCACAACAACAACAGAAACAGTAGCAATCCCCAAACCAACAAAATAAAATGCCTTTCTGTTTAAAAAAAAGACTCTTACATAGCTCCTTGTTCTTATTCACCATATATTGAATGTTTCTTTGGATTTACTGCATATACAGTAAGCAGTGAAGCTCAATATATGCCTAGGATCCCAGCACTCAGAAGACAAGCAGTTGGATCACAAGTGTAAAGCCAGTTAGGGTTACATAGTGAGTTCAAGACCTTTCTCAAAAAAAGTGAGTATTTTTGTCTACTCTATCTCATGCCTGGCTTTGTCTTTGTAATTTTAGTAAAACCAGCATTGTTGACAAAGGGTACGAGGAACAGATACAAAGTAGTTCTATATAGGGAAAAAAAATGGGGAGGGAGAGACCTCCCTGAAAAAAAATTTCATCTGGCTTATTCTTCCAGAAACACAACTTCTTTGTTTTAGGACCAAAATTTCCCCAGGACACTCGATGAGGTACTAAATGAGGCCTCTCTGACCCATCTGTTCCTGTATCAGGTCAGGTGGACATGAGGAAAGGCTGGCCTCACCCCAGGCTGCGGCAAATACAAACATGGCAGACGGAAGCATTCAGAGACTTCACTTCACACATGATTGCAAATCTGATATAGTAGCTGGAACTTAAGGAATGCAGTGATTCATGTCTACCCAAACACCAATTTCTGACATCTATCATCTCCCACATGTTAAGGTAATAAGTTAAACAGATACTTAAACACAGACGTACTTTTAGGTGATGAACTGGGACTGTTGGATGCAATTTGCCTCATGCGGCTTCCATGACAGCTCAGTGCCACCAACTTGGAAATGATGGCTGTCTTCCCAAATCCTACATTTCCAACAACAACCGCTCCTCTATTTTCTGCCAGTTCTGTGTTCCTCAAGTTTTCTTCTATTTGGTGAAAGAGCCAATCCCTTCCAACAAACACAGAGTCTGTTGTGATGCTCGGCACTTCAAATAGCAGAGGTTTCAGCAAAATGTCTTGGGGCTTGTAGGGAGCAAATCGTGCTGTAAGAAAGAAGTCATTTTAGAAGAATGTCGATTTTATGCACTTAAAAATACTAGTCAGTATTTTGAATGTGGTTCTATTAATATTTCTGTATCTTGTTAGTATCTTGCTAGTGGTACCAGAACATATCTTATTACAATGATCTTGTGATCCTTTCACAACTTTGAGTTGTTCTCATGACTCAAGGCAGACTCAGAGAGAAAGCAATACAAGAGGTTTTATCTGAAATGGTGTTTAAGACATGTTTCTTCCATCCCCTGCATGAGTAGGATGCAAAAACAGTTTCATACACCCAGGGGGCACAGCTCTTGTCTAGGTGCAATGGTACTTTGCGCACATGATGAGGTGCCCACACTTGTGTGTTTCAGGCAGATACAGGATGTGAATGTCATGGTCCAAAGTACTAAAACAAAACTAATCCTTTATCAGTAGCAAAAAATTGAATGAGTAACAAGTAAACAAAATTATTTTTCAATGACAGAAGCAACTTAAATCACCTATTTTAAGAAAGAAGTACAAAATTATCAAGGATTGTTTCACAGCATATTTTTATATTTCCATATAATATAAAATATATTTCATATAAATATAAACAATATATTAAATATATAAACATTTACTTTTAAATATATTTATACAAATATTTTATAAAGTATATATTATATAAAACTTTGTACACCTACTTAAATAAAAGAAAGCCCTAATAGAGATCAACTAACAATACATTATATAAACATATATATATTACATTTCCATATATAATATAAAATATATAATATATATCCATAATTTTTTCTATTTATATAAAATAAATTTTATAATATATACTTTATTTTTATAATAATATCTATTATATATGGAAATATATTTTTAATTTATTTTTTTGTGCTAGTACTGGGGCTTAAACTCAGCTGGTACTCTACTACTTGAGCCATGCCTCCAGTCCAGCATTTTGATGGCTAATTGGAGATGGATTCTCTTGAATGTTTCTGCCCAGGGTGGCTTTGAACAAATAGCTCCAGGTCCCAGCCTTCTATTAGTGGCTTGTATTCTAGGAAGCAGCCACCAGCATCTGGGAGATACTTTTCTGGTTTTCTTTTTAAAGCATGACAGGACTTCCCACCATGTGTTTTAAAAATAGCATTGGTTTCCAAGCTGGTTATCAGAAATGCTCAATGTTTTATGAACAAGCTTATTAAATCCACTAAGACAGTAAGTACAAAAAATAGGTACCTTTAACTTCCTGTGCCCTACCTCCAGCCGTATTGTGCCATGGTAACCGAATTGAAGTCCGGAGAGGAGCATTTCTCTGTCCATCTAAATAACTCAGGTCTTCCAATTTGGTAGAGCTTGTAGCTGTAATATAAAAATACAGTTTAATATCATAAGGAAATTGCTGTGAGTTATAAATTGCTAAGGTATTCAGTTCAGGCTTTCAATAAGACTTACTTAAAGATATCTGTTTGCAAATCGTTTAAATAGGGATACAGGTAGACCGATTGCAACAATGAGATGTACAAGTTGTTATGTCGAAAACGAACTTTACAACTTTGGCGCAGGGGGGGAGGAGGAAGTGGGGAGGATTGGGTAGGGGAGAAGGGGGAGGATGGGAAGGGGAAACAAAGGAGGAGGCTACAATGCTTGATAAGAAATGTACTCATCTTGCCCATGTAATTGTAACCCCTCTGTACAGTATATTCACACACACACACACACACACACAAAAGATATCTGTTTGCCCCAATTTATTTAAAATGGTATTAAAAAAAGAGGTACTTATACTTAAAACCAAATTATGTTGACACAGCTGCCAGAATTCTCCTGTATTCCTGGAAGAAGGCAGACAACATCACCCTAACTTCTTTCTTTTTTTTTTTTGGTCCGGTCATAGAGCCTGCACTCTGGGTCTGGGCGCTGTCCCTCAGCTCTTCAGCTCAAGGCTAATACTCTACCACTTGAGCCACAGCACACTTCCAGCTTTTTTCTTTTTGCTTATGTGGTGCTGAGGAATCGAACCCAGGGCCTCAGGCATGCAAGGCAAGCGCTCTACCACTGAGTCACCTTCCCAGCCCTTTTCTTTTTTTTGATGAAAAGGCCTAGCAATCAAGGATTATATAGGAAAGTTCCAGTCCTCACTGTAAACACATGGCCTGGTCCTTGCTTCTTCTCTGCAATTCTGCAAAGTGTTCTGTGGCATGGAATTCTAACATTGCTAATAAGCAGATTCTGTATGTACATTTCCACAGCACTCAGAACACTAACGTCAGCCCTTGCCAGTAAAAGTACAAACACTTTCTTTTTTTTTTTTTGGGTCCGGTCGTGGGCCTGAACTCTGGGCCTGGGCACTGTCCCTCAGCTCTTCAGCTCAAGGCGAGCGCTCTACCACTTGAGTCATAGCCCCACTTCCGGCTTTTTTTTCTTTTTCTTTATGTGGTGCTGGGGAATCGAACCCAGGGCCTCAGGCATGCAAGGCAAGTGCTCTACCACTGAGCCACCTTCCCAGCCCCTACAAACACTTTCCTAAACTTGAAATTTCACATATACAAATTCTATATACTATGTTACACTGGTGTGTATGTTATTTCTTCTAAAATTCTAAAAATAAGCAATCATGCCTACTTCTGATTAAATCTAAGAATCATAGCACATAGTTAAGAAGTGGTAAGGATTATTCACACATGTACATAAATTAGATTATAAAAGTAACTACTGTGAAGTAACTTTGCTAAGTGTCAGCAAACCATAGCCACAAATATACATACATGTTTTGCCTTAAACATCGATTTACATTTCATCCTAGATCAAAATTAGGGAATTCTAAATAAAATTACCTAACTGGTTTATGGATTAAATAATCCAATGTAAGGTTCTGCTAATCTTAGACATATGAGTATTTTCCAGGACAATAAAATACACACATAATTCAAGGGAACACGAAGGAGCAGAGGGAGTTGTGTCCCAAAGGTTAAGTCTTCTAAGGACTGGTGAAGTCATTAGCACAATCAGGATGCAACACAAGTTGGGCCATCTATCTTCTGAAAACTCTCTGGCTATCCCACAGGCTTGGTAGATCCAGTGTCAGCAGTACCCAGCATCATCTGCCCCAAGTCTTTCCTACTTCCACAAGGCTTACATCTTTCCTTTTTCATGTCCATACCACTCTCTTCCATTCTTCCATCTGCACCTAGGTAGGGGGCTCCAAGCTTGAATCAGAAATGCCCCATCATCCCCTCAGAGAGCAATCAAGCATGTGCCCTATTTCCTTACTTTCCCAGGAAGCAGAGAAGTACCTGAAACTGCCTTCAGAAGAGCGTGCATCTGTACTTTCTGCATCCTTCCACGTCTACCCACAGCCCGATGACACACTACGCAACACATTCAAATGAATGCCATGCCCATAGCCAAGGACCACAAACATCTCTCCCATTGGAAAGAGTCAATTTCTTATGCAGCAAAAACCAGACGTAATGTAAGCTAATCCAACAGCAGCCTGGAGTGTCTCTCTAGTCCATTCATAACTGGGGAGAATGAAACCTCATGGAGGAGCAACAGGACCACCATTCCTCTCCCGGCCCCCATGTCTCCAAGCTCACTACAAAACACAGCTTGCAACATGTTTGCAGACTGTTGCCACACGCTTCATAGTGAATTCACCAACAGTGGTTCAGACATAAGGTGCCATCATAGCTATAAACATAAACTCACTTTACAGCCTGAACAGCGCAGACATCCCACATGCTACTTCAGCTCATGTTACAAAGACACACAGATCCTCAAAGGGCTTTCTATTCCCCACTTCTAAATAAAAACACCTCAAAAAGCCCTCATCTGATTTGGATGCAGATGATGGTGAGATTTCAAGAGCCTCTTTTTCCATATTTCCAGTCATCAGAGCATCGCCGCCAAACTATGCAGCAAAGCAGCTACACTGTCAATTGGCTGATTTGGTTCCACTGCGGATTCATTCTCCATTCCAAACATGATAAAGCAGAACTGAAAGTTGCATCAGGACTTCAAGTGACCAGCTGCAGCCACCTCTGCTTTCTGAAGCATTTTCAAAGCCACACAGACATCTGAGAGCAAATAGTGCAGTGATAGTTGAACTGAGCTATGAACTCAAGTGTTCCCACCTAGCACACCAGGTGACTGAGAACAACCATTCTGCTTAAAATAGAGCCTCACACATTACCAGTGTGCGAGTCAGACTTGCACTCAGTATAAACAACAAAGGATTTCAAGGCCTAAAAACTATTGGAGGAAAATGGGAAGTAAAGCAATTTCACACTGTAATGAATCTACTATTAATTGTGTGTTCACGTGAATACACAGATGCTGTGTATGATGTGGGAGAGAAGCACACTTCATAATGCTACAGGAAAGGTTGTTGTTGTTATTGTTTGAGCGGTGGGGTGTTGAGTCCTCTCTACACTAAACAAGGAGTACCATGTCCAAGTGAGTCATGAACTAACCTACCAAACAGAAATGCACTTACCAATTAGTGTTTCAAGAAAATTAGAACTCAGTTGGTAATTGTTTGTTCATTTCCTCGAGATTTAAACAGTGTTCTATGATCCATTCAGAAAATATTTCAAGAGAAAACAAAAGCCTCCAAAAATAGAACCTATTGCCCAACTTGTAGAATAACCAATATCTAATTTTAAAGGTTCTACATCCCCGTTTTTTTTTGAAAAGTGTCTATGTCATCCACTTTCACATGATTTGTAATACTGCAAGTCAATCCTACTAACAAATAGCTTTACAAAGAACCACTTTGCAGAGTGAAACAATCTCCAAATGCAACCAATTAATTTTTTATAAGGTTTGATAAAAAAAAAAGCTTACCACATTGCATAGTTAATAGACAACCACAGGTTTTTTGTTTGGTTGGTTTTTTTTGGTAGCAAGCCCAATGACCTTGAAAGCTAGCGATTTTAGCAACTAATTTTGCAGCTTCACCAAGGGCAGGTTCACACACATGCATGTGTGTGTGCAGGAGCACAAATAGTATGTACAGATGCACATGTGCACGCCAAACAGGCCTAGTATCACATGCCAATCCTACTCTATTCCCATGGAACCACCTTTCCTATCCAATGGCAGTTTTTGTTTACATAGATGTTAGCATACCACTACTTCCAAGAGATTTCAGTATGATGTACTTTACATTTTATTTCAGTCCTTCTAATATTTGCAGCAGTCTGCCTTCTAGTTACTAAACAAACAGTGCTGCAGTAATTCACACAATGGAACCTTATTCTTTCCCATGACCCTTGACACAACTTGTCATTATTCCCTGATTGAGGTTAAGCTTTAGAAGCAGGAAGTGATTTAGCAGATTCCTAGCTTACTAACAAATAGGCACTTGCCTATTTCCTTTCAAACTCCATACATAGTTTTAAAAACATACAAAACAGGAGAAATGAGCAAGGTAGTCTCTGCTCAAACCTCAAGGTAAGATCCTCCTATTCCACAGGAGATCCAGCCCCAGGGCACACATAATAAATGCATACCGCAGAGATCAGAAAGCTCTGCTCCATGAATTATGGCAGTCTACTGGAAAGGATCAGCTCACACCTACTGTCACTTCACCCGGCAGGAGAACATATAAAAGGGACATCCAGCAGAAAACATAACCCCAAAGGGGTGCTTTTAACACTGCTAAAAGTAACATCTTAATGTGTTCCCTAATTTTAGAAAAGATTTGATCATATTGAGGACAAACTTGCTATTTTCTTGAAGAAAATAAAGCTGTCAAGTTCTGGGACAGTATGAGTGACCCATTCATCCTAACCATGTAACTACGACCTAAAACCACTTGAGTGCAACGTATTATGTTCAAGGGGTGGGATTATAGTGGGAAAACACAAAAGCTTTTGGAAGAACCATCAGTCAGAACAAGTAATGTTCTCTAGTGTTTCTCTCTGGCAGACACACCAAATCCCTCTTCTGGAACAAGGCCATTTTGCTTCCTTTGAAAGTGAATTAAAGTTTACCTCAGAACTTTTCCATTAAGGCCATTTATTTACCAGCTGCTTTAGAGTTCCATCGTAAAAAACACCTAACAACAACCAGAATGACCTAGCACATCCCACAGGAGCAGTATAAATCACAGAAAAATCCTTTGATGTAGGGGGAGAGAATCTGAGTCTATGTATTAGTAGAGGATGTTTTAAGTGCTATGCTAGTAACCAAGAATTACCATGAAAGTTCCTCTCTTAAATTCAGCACAACAGCACTGAGTGCAAGTGTTAAGACCTTCAAAAGCAGGAGTGCCTCTCCCAATGCACAAGACTCCTCTCCTTGCCTGACAACCAGTCCAACTCCTTGCACTGCCATCTGTGGCTCTCTTCCTTCTTCCCAGCTACCACGCTTCTCTCTCTCTTCCCCAGCCTCGCTGCATATGCTTTAAATGGTATGCACCACTGTTTGAATTATGCAGAAACATCGGATCTCCTATCTATATGACAGGCTTCAATTATACAAAAGAAAGCTTTAAAGTTAGATTCAAAATTCCCCATGCTGATAGTAACACCTTCACTCTAAATAATTCCTTTACCAAGATAAAATAAGAAGTCATACATTTACTGAAGCTTAAAATAACAGACATCAAGGGAAGAATTTTTTAGCTTTCTTCCGTTATATACAATGAGCCAAATTGTCCAAAAAATGGATTTAAAGAATCTAGAGTAGAGTACAAGGGAAAGGGTGATATTGTCCAAAAAGAAATGTATTCTTTATGTGACTTACATAACTATAACCTCTCTGTATATCACCTTTATAACAATAATTTTTTAAAAAAGTTTTCTTAAAAAAAAGAATTCTAGAGTGAAAAGGTCACTGAGAGACTGCTAACTGCAGCTTTATTGTGTTTACTGGTGGGTAAACTGAGACTTAAGAAAAGTAAGATCAGAACACTGAATGGTATCTGGATCAGATTCCTATTAGAAGACAGTGCACAGCGGGTTCCTCAGGCTCTGACATAACCCTTCCAGGGAGATTCATGGCCTTACCTGCAACTGAGTTGGGCCGTGGCATTATTAGCGAGCTGGAGCTCTGAGAATAAGGGACCGGACCATCTCCAGCTGAGGATTCTGCCTTAGGCAGCACGCTGTCCGCTGACCCAGTGGTCTCCTCTTCTGCCACGGGGGAGCAGTTATCTGCCCTGCGGTCATGAAGCACTCCCTTCTGAACCCCTAACCTTAGGCTTCCATCTTTATTCCATTCCAAACTGGAGCCACTCCGGTCATCATTTTCGGATGAACTTGTAATTGTGGCTGAAATGAGAGATCAAAATACTTTGAAGGAGACCAGGCATAGCTGGAGTGGTTGAGAGTGAAAACACACACACCTCCCCCTCACAGGATCAATGGAAAGTTTTCCAGTCCACACAGATTTTTATCAAAGTATGTTTCATACCATGTATTTTGGTATATTCAAAGAATGTTGCTTATCAGGGGAAATAACACTGCAAAATCACTGTACAGGAAAAAGATTCAAGAAGATAAAGAAAAAGCTATCTAGAGGCATCAGACATTGAACAGCAAATCTATGCAATATGGATATGACATATTCCATCTTTACCCATGATGAATTGCTCATCACATTAAATCCTTTTGAATCTATAAATATCTTAACCAAACAATTATTTGTTGGTGGGGATCTGGAGGAAGAATGAGCAATACAGAAGTTAATGTAGAAAAATCTTTAGTAACAAAAGTACATTTACAAAATCAAGGAGAGAATCTGATCCTAAAAGTCAGTATCTATAACATTTGTTCAGCCTGGCCTGGAGAGATCAACTTGACTTATTCCTCCAGAGTCACAGAATGGAAAAAATCTCTTTCTGGGCAATACAGGGAAGTACCAACATAGTGACAGAATTAAAGTTTAACCTCTTAGAAAAAAGTCCAACAGAGAAAGAGGGGAAAAAAACAACACAATGCTGAAAAACCTTTTATAAACATCTTAGAGAGAGCTGAGAAGATAAAAGAAAAGTACAATACTCACCCCATATGGCTTCTACAGACAACCACTCCTAACATACAGACACTAAGCTGTGTGGGATCCCCGCAACCACAGCTCACCAAGGTCACGCCCCTTTCCCACTGTTGACCTTATGCAAACTTGTGTCCTTAAGGGCAGGGGTCGGGTCTACGGATGCTCTGTTTGGATTCCAGCAGCCCAGGTCTCTGTGAGCCTGGCAAATGGGAGAGCGGCTGGCCAAAGTGCACTCAGACTCAGCTGCCTTAAGGGAGCGGCTTCATCCACTCATCATGAAGAGCATACTGCATCAGCAGACCAGCCAATTAGCTCCAAGAGAGTCCGTTATTTAGGACCAGAGGGTCTGAGAGGCCCTTTTTTATTGTTAGAATGCTCCTTAAGGTTTAAAAGTAAAGACAAAACATTTTCCTTGCTATGGCCACACCACAGGAAACCCTGCCACAATTCTAAGATGGTTCTTGCTGCTGCAGCCTGGACTTACTGCCCTCTGGTCTCCTCCCTCATTAAATTAAAAAACAAAAAACCCTCCTATGCATGGAAGCTCGCATCATATACATGGCAAAAAGTGCTCAATAAATGTTTGGTTATTAAATGAAAAAGCAAATGAAGAACAAACTCCAATTGCACTTGTAGCCAAAGACACTACACCTCAGTAACCTCGCTGTTCTCTAGTCAAGACTGTTGGCATTATGTCTCTAACTAAAGTACAAGCTGGTATGGGATGGGGTCTTCTCACTTCAGGGAGTACATCACTTCTGAATGTTCTAATGGTAACAAACCATGCTTCCAGCTCTCTAAAATTAAGCACAGCCTTCACTGTGTTTCCAATGGACCATACTCTAGTATAATAAGTACATCTCTTCCCACTATAAAAATGGTGGGGGTAGTGGGAAGAGTCAGCAACGAACATTAAAGATTAACTATATGACAGAAATTGTGTTAATGCTTTACAAAAAATTTATTAATGAGTATATTATTTATTTATGGTAATTAATTATTAATAGTAACTTAAGTTGAAAACAAAAATAGAACTTGTAGTAGTAACACATGGTTATTAAGTCCAGTGTTTGGACCTCTGCATGGTTTTCTGGGACATACTAGAAATAGCTGAGGTTCCTGAGAGGGAAATGTTCCAAACTGGGGATGAGGGTGTTTTTTCTTGGTTTTATGGCTGTGGCTATTTCATTTGAGGGGATATAATTTTAAGTGAAAAAATAAAAATGGCTGGGCTCACACCTGGTGGCTCACACCAGTAATCCTAGCTACTCAGGAACTCCTCAGATCTGAGGATTGCAGTTCAAAGCCAGTCCCGGCAGGAAAGTCCATGAGACTCTTATCTCTAATAAACCACCAGAAAATGAGAAGTGGCGCTGTGACTCAAGGAGTAGAATGCTAGATTTGAGCTTAAGAGCGGAGGGACAGTGCCCAGGCCCAGAGTTCAAACCTCATGACTGACAAAAATAAATTAATTGATTTAAAAATAAAAATGGCATTTTCCCTCATTTGCTCTGCCTAGGTGCCACACAGTTTAGAGTCAAAGCCTAATAGTCTCCTGTATCTGGGAGTGAACAGGGATTTGAACTGGCTCGCTTCTTGCAGCTGCAAGGCCCTCAGGAAACAGCTGAGGAGAGCCAGGAAAGCCTGGGTGGTGTTGCTAGAGTGCAGGATAGGTTGAAGGTCCAATTCTCACCATGAAGCAAGGGCTCCACATATTGCCCAGTTTCTGATGGGTGGAAACTCTCCTCTCCTGGCAGTAAGAGAAAGGAAAGTGGGTGTGGAGGAAGGCTCTGAGATGCAGGAAGTAGCCATTTCAAAAGAAGATTATCACAAGTTCAATGTTGATTAGCAGAAGATTCCAGTTCGGAATCTTCTCATCACGGATGGGATGTTCACATCAGAGGGGCATCCATCATCCACACCAGGCCACGGGGAGATGCAGGGAGGCAAGAGGCTTGGAAACCACAGGGAGACTATCCCATCCCACAAAGGCTCTTCTCATTCCAGGTACAGCCTGCATAGCTTAAAGCCTAGGCAGTGAACTTTCATCCCAAACCAGCTTCTCTCTAAGCTCAAAGCAGATCAGTGGGGCAGATAAATGCTGGTTTCCTTGCACACCAAATAGGACATCTCCAATCTCTCATAATAAAACCATGCTACTCAAAAATATTTTTCTTTCATGGTAACAGAAATATAAGCTTCTAATTAACCTAGGAAAATGCAGTGTGTATGTATTCAAATATGTATATATGTGTGTGTAGTCAAATATGCTCCTTTTTATTGTTATTATGAAGGTGATGTACAGAGGGGTTACAGTTACATTAAGTCAGGTAATGATACATTTCCTTTTGAACTATGTTACCCCTTCCCTAACTTTCTCCCAGTTTTTCCCCTCTGTTCCCCCCCCACAACACGTTGTATAGTTCATTTTCAACATAGTATCTAATGTATGAGGACTTAAAAATAATCTAAAACATGGTACTTTACATCTTCTAAACTCTGAATAAGTTTTAAAATGCCCTAACAACTCTATTTTTAAGAACATTTTATTCCTACAAATTAATAGAGGTGGGTTGGGAAGGTGGCTCAGCGGTAGAGTACTTGCCTTGCACGCATGAGGCCCTGGGTTCCATTCCCCAGCACCACATAAACACAAAAAGCCGTAAGTGGGCTCTGTGGCTCAAGTGACAGAGCACTAGCCTTGAGCTGAAGAGCTGAGTGACAGTGCCCAGGCCCAGAGTTCAAGCCCCATGACCAAAAATAAATAAATAAATAAAATTGAGGTGCCAGCTTTTGTTAATTAAGGCTTATCATAGTCACCCAGATATCTTAACTATTCTTCAAATTCTGTAACATGAGGGCTTTGTTGGCCTTATATTTCATTGAACTGTCAGGTTAAACTGCACCATGCTAGTGTTAAACTGGGCGTGGTGCCACTCATTGATTCACTCATATTACTGTTCACTCTATGTACCTAGTTTGAAAATTCTGATAGCCCAGGAGACTAATCTGACTCTGTAGTAACAGTACATGTAAGCAGATCTGCTAGTACACAGGGCTCAAAAATAGCCAATGTAATTTTTTGAGATATCAAGGCACATATACATAATCATCACCATGAGTGAGAAGAAGCCAGCCAGGCTAACAGCCATACATTTTCACAAGCATGGCACATGGTTCGTGGCATATCCAACACCAACTAGCTATCACTGCACACACAGCAAGTTTCTAAAGTCCCTTTGCTTGCACAGGCACTGCACATAAAAGGAGCACTGTAAGTATCTATAGTTAAAAAAGTTTTATTTGGTTGTTTTTTTTGTTTTTTGTTTTGTTTTTTGGTTGTTGTATTTTTAGGGGAGAGCAAAAAGGAGACAGAGGAATGGAGGGAGAAATGGCGAACAAATGCAGTCATGGTTTTCAATATATACTATGTAAAAATGAACTATGTAACTTAAGGGCAGGAACAAGGGGGGGATGGGGAAAAGCAAAGGAAGGAGTGACATCGTCCAAGAAGTATTATATTCATTATCTACTTGCAGAACTGAAACTCCTATGTACAACTCCTTAATAACAATAAATGCAAAACAAAATTTTAGGTTTATGAAGTCTGTGCCTTGCACAAAATAGTCATCCCAATGAAATCCTATCTATGTAGCTAATGTAACCTAATTAAAAAATGGTATCACCCAGTCATCAAATATTTTGTTAGGTACAGTTCTACAATAAAACATTTTGTCTTCGACTCAAATTTTATTCACCCCTCTTCTTAAAATCAAATTGGAATAAAAACAAAAATATAGTTACAGGACCAAGGAGTATGGTGAGATCTAAATCAAATTGTAGTTTAAAAAAAATATCAAGCCGGGCGCTGGTGGCTCACGCCTGTAATCCTAGCTACTCAGGAGGCTGAGATCTGAGGATCACGGTTCAAAGCCAGCCCGGGCTGGAGAGACCATGAGACTCCTATCTCCAATAAACCACCAGAAAACCGGAAGTGGCGCTGTAGCTCAAGTGGTAGAGTGCTCGCCTTGAGCTGATAGAGCTGAGGGACAGCGCTCAGGCCCAGAGTTCAAGTCCCACGACCGACAAAAATAAAAATAAAAATAAAAAAAAATCAAGAAGGTAGATACCAGTGGCTCATGCTTTTGATCCTACCTACTCAGGGGGCTCAGACCTGGAGTTCAAAGTCAGAGCACAAAAGTCTGTGCCTTCATCTCCAATTAATGAGCTGGAGTGGAGGCATGGCTCCAGTGGTGGAGCACAGTTATGAGCAATA